ATATAAAATTTTATTTTCTGTGAGTTTATTGTCTGGGCATGTCCCACTGATAAGAGGGACCTCAGCTGGCGTGGGACCGCCTCTGGATTCCCCCAGATGAGCTGGAGAAAAGTGTGTGTGGAGAGGGAAGTCTTGCGTCTCTGTGCTGCCTGGCAATAGATAAAGTGGTATAAAAAGTATGTATCAACTCTAAAATGTCACAAACTATTGTTTTATTTCTTATTAAGTCACATGATCAGCCCACTCTTCCAATTCATTAAATTTTTGGTTCAGCACTGCCTGTCTGAAATATTTAGCTTTATTCACAAAACACACACACAGACACACACACAATCCTATTCCAATCCTGTGTGATCTGAACACAGCTGTGAGCAGACTGAGCACCTCTCGAGACATATATATTTTCTAAGTGTAAATGAGATTCATCCACACCTCCAAACCAACTCCGCTACCTTTTGTTAAAAAACAACCGTGTTCAGTCACATGGTCGACGCAATGCAACTGTCTCTGCTCTGGCAGTTAATACCCGTGAAGATTCAATTTTTTCTGAAGATGAATAATTTAGGGCAAAATCCAGTGCTGGCAGGAGCGGAGAGGGCAGATTTAATGAGAATATAGGAGTCAAGGAATTCACGTTTGCATTTTGATACTTTCTTTCAATTCTTTGGCCACAAATGTAACGTAGCAATGACCCTGTGCCTTTCTTGTTTCCCATGTACTCCCAGAAGCAACAGTTAATCACTCCATGTCTTGGTGAAAAGGACGCGACACACAGAAACCTTTCTTTTTCTAGCCTCTACAGTCGGACTGGCTTTCAAGGACTGTTCGCTTTTGTTGATCTTCAGAAAATCGTCTCTATGGCAGGCAGGCTAGCTACAAAAAAAAAAGCCGACGTGTCAGGTGTCAGGCCCTCTTGAATGCAATATAATATCAGAGTGTTTTTGAGGGTTTGAATGGCTTCTGCGAGCTGAGCTGAGCAGGCTGACATTTCAAACCTGCTGTAGCGGTTTAACTAGAAATAAATATTTAAAATACTGGTGATCATACGTATTGCATTACCACATTTTGCGCCATATTATAAAAAGACCTTTTAAGATAGTTTCCTAAATTGTTGATGACAAGTAGAAAAGACAAATACAAGAAAATAGACTCCCAAAGCTTAATATGGTCGTGAAGATAACAATATATTGATTAATGATTATAACATTACAGCTTATGTATGATCACAGCATGATTTTGTACTCAAGCGGTAAATATTATTCTTATTCTAATATTATAATATTATTCTCAAATTAACATATGTCATTTGTACATCTTCCTGATGGTATGAAACTTTAATTAATTAATGAATGCATTTATTAGTCCCACAGTGGGGAAACTTGATTTGTTATGTTAACGATTTAACATTAAAACTCCCTTAACTCTAACATTTTCAATTTATTTGGCTTTACAGCTGTCTTTAGTTACTGTCATCCTGCTTTACTAAATTTTCAATAACAAAAAAACACAACCACTGTCACAAAATAATTGGCTGTGCTGGATGTACCATTTATTTAGAAACATATTTCCTCCCGTTGCTTTTCTCCTCCACACTCTCTTAAATCAGGCCATGGCAGAATAATTTCCTGCAAAGATTAATTTTCTTACCGGGAGATGCGAAGCGAGGGGAGACAGCCAAGGAAACAAAGCCACAGTGGCGTGGCTTAAGACAAAAAATAAAGGCCAGATAAAAGAATGAGAGGTCATGATATGAGTAGATTTGAACTGAGCAGAGTCCAAAAGGCAGTCAGATGCATCATATTCATCTGAGAGCAACACCGGCTGATATTAAGAACAACATCTGGTGTGGGAGAGATACTCGGCTCTCTTCCTGAAATGATATGACCACCACCACCTGCCACAGGCAAAGCAAACAGCACACACATTTTTTTTTGAGCAAATGAAAACGGCTTGCAGATTTTTGATAAAATAAAGTAAAACAAACTGAATAGTAAGAAATAATGGAATATGTTAAAAGCCTAAATTAGAATACTACAACTGCACCAACAAATTGTGGCTTTGCTATAAGCATTCCACTTGGATTTGAAAGTGAAAAGGTACTCGACAAATAAGTCATACCATCCTAGAGAATGACCTTTAACTGGCAGCTTCAGGCCAAATGTGACCACCTAAGATCTTACAGTAATAATGTCTGACTGACACCTGTCAAAGGACCCTTTCCCTCCGGTCTGACAACAAGCAATCACTGTCCCGTAGTGCTCCTTTCTCACTTAATCCTCACTCAGTGCAACCACTGGCTACGGCTTTGACCTGCACGCTGTTAATACATAATCTGCCATCTCTAGGACTAATGTGAGGACCCTCCCCCACCATCATCATACCAGGGCCAGGCCCATGCAGGAAGAAGATGACTGCTATAGTGTGTCACGCAGAGTAGAGCTGACCTTGACTGGCAAAGGGTCTACTGCCAGAGTGGTGGGACAGGGGCCAAGCGACTGCAGGAAGTGAGCAGGAGGCTGTCATGGGTAGTGGGGGATGGGAAAGGTCTGGCTTGTCATAAAGACAGGGCTCCATTGGGAGCTCAAACCAGAAGAAAGTTAAGAGATATATGGTCAGGAAACTAGTAGCGATAAACTCATCATGCTGGAAAAAATGCCATACTCCTATTAAAATACCATTTGACAAAAACCATCAACTTGTCAGGGAAATGGTTCACTTTTTAATCAAGTGAACAAGCTCTGTTTTGTTTTCTGTTGTGTTGTATTACAATAGACCAGCCCCTTAACCAGGAGCAAACTGCCAACAATAACCATCCAAAAGCAGGTTGCCTAGCAACATACAATTTAGGAACATGCTTTCAGAGCAGCCTTGCTGCTGTGTCCATTAACAGATGAAATTACCAAAGCTACAAATGTCAGCCACATGCAAATGAGGTCTACCCTGCTGACAGTGTGTATTAACAATGTGCTCCAAGTGCATGTGGCAGACATGAAGAATGCCGTCTCAAGCATGTGTCCATCTGTGCACAGAGCAGCATGTTTTGACAACCAGGCAATAGGGTTCATTCATAGCCCTCCTGGGTTTGCAAATCAAATGGATGAGAATCAAACTACACTGGTAAAATGCTTTGTTACTAGTACAATTATTACTGTAACTACAAGACAGTCCTGTGTACAGCGAGTCAATAGACTAGTAAAACAATCTGTATTTGTGGATTAGTGTAGCTGGGGGATCTATAAGATTAAAATCATCTCATAGCAACAGTAGAGACAATCATACTATCAGAAATCAGATCAATAGTATCAAAGAAGCACTATACATGTCTTTTTGTCAAATTTACTATGATTCAAATGATTACTACTACTGTTGCTACTACTGCTCCTCTTACCACCACTACCACAACTACCACAACTACTACCACTACTACTACTGCCTTAGGCTGACCAAAATCAAATGCCATTCTAAAACAAAGCAGGACATAACTGAGCAGATAAAAACTGAAAACATGGCAATTAATAGATAATCTACACAGTGAAATAGAAACAGAGAAAATGATTTACTTGTATCAGGAGATGCCATTGTGGATACAATGACCGGTGGACCAGTTCGTCTACTGAGCTTCTGGTTAGCAAGTACAGTACTTTGACTTTGACCAGGGACTCCAAGAGGGATGAGGGCATTGTCTGAGACGGAACCACCTTTACGCATCATCTGAGGACTTGGGTGTGGACTGTGCATGGGTGACATGGGAATTAGGTTCCTGTCTCTCTTCATCAGCTCCATGGGCACAGTATAATTAGTAGAGTACGCTTTAGGTACTTGTTGTGGTGGTTGGTGTAAAGCTGGCATTGAAATGGGCATTTGTTGAGGCATGGCTGGATGCATAGAGCCAGCAATGGCAGGCATTGACCCGGACATGTGCTGAGGCAAGATCTGCATGCCTTGCATGGACATTCCTGGGACAGTCCCCCCAGAAGAGTATGCTGACATTGGTCTTGACTGAACAGGCATTACAGCTCCTGCATATGGCCCAGAGGAACGTGGAAGCTGTCCAGGAAAAGCTGCGGCCTCCATTAACTGCTGTGAAGGGGCACTGCTGGGCCTCCGACCAACCACTTCCCCTATTCTTGGATTGATGGTTTGCATGGGACCAGGAGTTTGCGGAGGATACAGTTGTGGATCCATAGTCAAAGTTTGAGGAGGATGCGATGGATGATGATGCTGTTGTTGGTTATAGATATCTGAGCGATGGCTAAAACTATTTGAACGCCCACGCATTGGAGTCTGTGGCTGTGACAACACTGGTGGGACTTCAACAGGGCGCTTGCAATTTTGAACAACCCGAGACAAAACACGTGCCTGGCCAAGGTTAGTTGCTACAGTGCGGACATCATTCTCTTCCATTACTACAAGCATGCTTGTAGAGTCAAAGCCTTGCTGAATAAGAGAAGAGATGGTGCTTTCTGAGAGACCCTCATTACGCAACAAAGCCAGAAACTCAGGATCAGCAGGCTTCTTGGGGTCAACTGAAAGGACAGTATGTGGGGTTGTAGGTATTGGAGCAGGGACAGGACTAGGCAGTAGTGTGACAGGTGGAGGAGGAGCTGCTGCAGTCTGCACTGGAGTAGGAACGGGCATGACTACAGGGGCTGTCACTGGTACAGGTGCCGCAGGATGAGGAGCGGCCAGAGGAAGATTAGGGTCAGCCATCGGCACAGAGACCGAACTGGGGAGGGGCTGATGCTGCTGCAGATGTTGCTGCATTTGTTCCTGCTGAATTTGTTGTTGAAGTTGTTGTTGCTGTATCTGTAATTGTTGCTGCTGTTGTATCTGTTGCTGTTGCATCTGTTGTTGAAGTTGTTGCTGCTGTTGCTGCAGTTGTTGCTGTTGTATTTGTTGCTGCTGAATATGTTGCTGTAATTGCTGTTGTTGTTGATTATAAACTGTAGCAGGTTCCTGCCTTACAACCATGCCCTGACTGCCGGGGTCAACCACCAAACATGTGGCTGACTGCTGTGGATCCAATGGGCGCCCATTCACATCAGTATAAACCTGTCCGGTCACAGAGGGAGGCTCACCTGCATAGCGTGGAGAGGCATGATCCAAAGCATAATGAGCCGGAGATGGAGCTCGAGATGGTATCCGTTGTTGTCCATCAGGCAACATTTTGGGAGTACCAGGCTCCCTATACACTCGGTTCAACTCATGAGCAGTTGGTGGGAGACCTGGTGGAGGGAGAGGCGAAGGAGGTCCCTGGGGTCCTGCTCTGACACTCGGTCCCTGGTCCCATGTAGCTCGAGCAGCAGGTGCCATGCCATAATGTGAGCCAGACCTACTGAGAGGATGAGGTGGTGGATTGGGCTCTCCTCTGTAGAATGCTTCAGGAGGGCGAGGAGTCATTGCTGGGTCATGGGAATAGTAATCCTGATGAGAAATAGATCCTCTGTGCGCCATAGGTCCCCTTTCGTAGATGTTGAGATCAGGTACAGAGCCTTTTCTCACCACTCTTGAGTCAGTGTAAACTTGTCCATAAGCAGTGTCCTGAAAAGGATGTGGTTCACGTTTTGAATCCTGGTCAGAAGGATGCACTGGTGCAGGCTCGTGCCACCCTCCTTCTCCGTAAGACAGGGAACCCCGGCGGCCAGCTACTCTCGCCTGCTGCTCGTATACGCCCTCAGTCCTGTCCCACTGACCCTCATTCCCTCCTAAAGTATCCCAACTGTGGGAGCGACCAAGAGGCAACTGCTTGTTGACGACGAGCATTGGCAAAAATATAAAATTAAAAAGGTCAGAAGTTTAGTAAAGAAAACAAGGAGAGAAAAAATAAACAGCTTTAGTTGACCCACATTCCAAAGCAGGAAAAAGACGGTAGAAGAGTGATGCGCACAAGCAAACGGAACTGGTCTGTTGTTACATCCGATAAGGTGGTAATATTGAGTGACTCTTTCAGCAAGCAGATGTTGAATTATTAATCTCTGGTCATGCTGGTTGAAGTTCAGGAGGAAAGAAGACACCACTCACTACACAGATCACAGCAAAGGTAGTCCGTTACTGGTGTAACAGAGTACTACGAGAACACCCACCTAACTACTCATGGAATTAAACAGAGAAAGAAAGAGAACGGGATAGGTCGAGTAAGAATTGGGATGGGCTTGGACTAATCCAATAGGATTTATCTTTCCCTTCTCTGGGACATTTTACTTGTCTGGCGATTGCTATAAAGGATTACATCTAAATAAAGCCTGTATAATTCCACTTCCCAGTGTGACGTCACATGAACCAGATTCAACGGATCGGGTGATCACTATGATGACGACAAAGATGAAGTCCGTCCTCCACAACGATGCTTCAGAGTCTGTCTTACCTGATGTCATGCGTTGCCAATGTGTTTGTCTTTGATTTTCTGGATTCTAAGAGCAGGGAGGGTAGGCCGGAAAAAGCAAGGGAGGCAGTTCCATTGAATGCAAATGAAATACAGTTCTTTCAGCTTAGTCCCATGTGCTGTCAGTAAACATCAAATCCACTCTGATTGGACATTAATCCTCTGGGCCCCATGCTTGCAGCAGAGTCACAGCATAACTGCTGGCCAACTTACTCTGAAATGTCCTTGATGGCTGTGGCTCTATCCACCAATTCATCTTTTCTCAATCCAGGATCACTAACCTGCCTCTGATTCCTGTCATCACCCAAATGTGCAACAGTTCCATACATTTAGATGTAAATAGATCAAACCTCTATGAATATCTATATTTTTTTTTACAATGTATTTTTACTTATTTCTTATATTCAAATAAATAAGTTAAAACAATGACATTAGTCCTCAACTGTTATGTGTATTTGCTAAACACTGTACCTTCCCCCTCTTTCACAAAGCATCCTGATCCCCTTATGTTAGTTCAATAATCTGGACTGTAGAAGGGGTGGAGTTTCTTTAAAGCTCCTACAAATATTTTGTTTCTTTTCTAAATTGCATGCCTATACATCTAAAATAATTACAGAAATACAGGCATGTCAAAATGTTAATACAATCCAAGTCTCATCATTTCCTACATACTTAGGGGGTTCAAGAGTGAAGTATGAGGACCTCTGTTATAAACCTAATCTAATTTGAGGATGTAAAACTCACTCATCTTTGAGGTTTGAACCCGAGAAGACTGTTTACTAATGCATGAAAACAGATGTAGGGTGCTCCTTTCTCTCTACTTTTTGTTTTCTATGCTCAAGAAACATATCTATAAATAGTACTGTGTAAAGTAAATGTTTGTATTGGAACTGCATGTAGTCAGAAATTAGAGGCACAGATGCAAAAGAAAAAAATACTAGTACAATTATTACCTAGTTCCACAAGGTGACTGTAAAATCTGATGAAAGCTGCTCAAATCTGCAGATGACAGGCTTTTGGGAGGTTCAGAGAAACCCAACTTGACTTCATATAAAAGTAAATTAAAATAGGATGGGTGATGAGATGAAGGCGCATGGGGGAAAAAACTGATAAAGATGAATTATTCAAATCAAGGCTATGCTGAAAAAATCTTTGAAGTCGCCCCAACCTTATTAATAAGGTAAACTTGTGCCACTTTTTCTAATCACATTAGTCATTCATCTCCAACAGTACACAATAATTTCAAAACAAGACTCACACTATATTGTATTTCTTCCACAATGTTCTTCCACATACGTATTTGAGAAGCTAATTAGAATCAGAAGTGTATGTTTGTAGCCTGTATTCATGAAGACGATTTCAAGGGCAACATCCATACAGTAAATGTGATCCCATGCTACTTGCTCAACCTCTTCTTGTCTTCCTCATTACTTCTAGTCGAGCTCTCAGGAGGCAGTGGCTCTCTTAAGTCAACCGCAAATAGAAGGCCAGAGGTGTGCACTCTTAGTTAATGTCCAATCCTGAAAGGGAAAGAACATTTCAGAGCTGTGTGCCTTAACCTCGACAAAGTTTGTAATGAGTTTCCTTTGCCACACCTAAAAGGCTATGCACACATTGGCAATTTAAGAACGAGGCAGAGGATTTGCCACCCAAGGAGATGTGTATAAACCAAGCCTTGAACAAGCATGTGATTTGGTCTTAAAAGCATGCACTGCATTAAGTGAGTTATTCAATGTCAGGGCAAATTCAGAACAAAACATTTGATAGTACCCAGGAACTTGTAACCTCCACCACAGGGTAATACACAAGAAACAAGGGAAAAATGTAAAGCGTACGTTCAATCAAAATCACTTTTTCATGAAGTTTTTGTTTTGAAATATGCATTATATTTGTGTAATAAAAGTTATTTCTACATTGAAATAATATCTAAACTAGCAACACATTAAAACACATCATTTCTGAAGTAACAATTACAGCAGTACACATGGCAACATGGAATACAGTCTTTTCATCCATTAGCGATGATGATACAAATAATAATAATCATGTCAATTGAAAACCTCTTGGTGATAGTGGGGATAGTTACATTTTGCTCTAATGAGTGCTTCTTTTTCAGTATACTTACAATGAAGCATTATGTTTGTACAAGATCCTTTTAACTATTATTTGCGTGCCTGCTTTCACATGCACTGATCCAATTTGAAATGTGTTGTCACTTACACGCAGCCATCCGACAGCGCAGGGAAACACATCCCCAAACACCCATGGCTTCAGAATCCTAGCTCCTCACTCGAGCCCTTTTGACCCTGTTCCAACACTGCGCATTGACAGCGGCACTTCGTTAGAGTCCCTTTTCATCCACACACGCAACCTCCTCCAAAGCCGTAGCCTTGGTCTGACGTGCATACATGAATAAAAATGACACGCAGCTAGTTCAATGGGAATAGAATAGTGCCAGAGAAATAAAAACAACTGTCTGCAGGCTGACAAAGAATGATTTGAATGTTAAATGCTCACTGGCCTCTGCATGTGCGCGGGAAAACTGGTCATGGGATTACTATGGCCACGTCAATGCAGAGAATAATGCTCTCCACTAAATTGTAATTGCACTTTTTCCTTATAAAACACACCGAGTTGACCTAAGGGCAACATCAGAGTTATATTTTTGTTCTAAAAGCATCTTCATAGCCACTGGATAGATATACATAGTTATATACAGATTTTTTAATTGTATTATTATTTTCAAGAATAAAAGTATTGTAAATGTGTTTGCTCGTCTACAAGGGTAGGTCAACAATTAATTGAATCATCTAGACAAAACTTTTTTTTCACAACAAAGCCAAAATCAACAGTAACCCAACCCTTACTTCTGAGTACTACACACTAATAATCAATCAAACTTTATTTGTTTAGCCCTAAGTCAGAACAAGTTACAAATTGGTCCGGAATTTGATAAGAGAGCCTCAAGTACACCTCTATCCTATAATAGCAATAGTTACAACACTACAAGTACAATATTAGGGGCCACATGCAGCAGAACTAGAAGTACTGCATGTGGCCCCTAAGGAGAAGTGGTTTCCTTTTCCTTTTCTTTTGAAACCACAAACAATACGATACAAGCAACTGCAAAGACAAAATGTGAAATTATTAAAGTATTCAGACCATAAAAATCATAATAATGTTGGACAAGCTCACAGTGCTACAGCAGACTTCCCTCCAAAAACAACAAGTCTCGGTTTTCTTCCCTTCGATGACTTCATACCAGCACTGGATGCCAAAGTGTGAGCTGGGCAGGGGGACAATGGAGCAAAAAGGGAGGGAGGTGGGAGAGAACACAAAACCACAACTACAGGAGAGTTTGCGATGGAAAACTTACTAAAACGGAACCAGAGTCACACATTCATTGAAAATTGCTTTTAGCAAAAGGTGTGCATTTATTAAGCCCAATAAAAGGCACAATGTAGATTTTCTTAAACGCCACCAGTTCAGACCAGTACATAACCAACCCAAAAGACCAATACAATGTTTGTCATGTCTTTCCACAACGCCCCGCTGAATGAGGGACGAGATCAGCAATAGTCTTACTTACTTCAGTACCTGTAAAAGATTCATCTGTGCTAGTGTCATGTATTGTATTACTGTATGTACTGTACAGTTGTGTGTTTTGGAATTCTACTGCATGATGTTGCTACAGTATAGCAGTGTATTGTGTGGCATGTGTGATAGGGGTTGAAATCAAATAAGCATTTTCTTTAGCCAAACCCTTTTTCAAAGTAAGTACTTGTTATATCGATGTTTGTGAAGAAGCATGTTGTTCAGGTTAGAATTAATCTAAATTTAAATCTCTTTACATTTTTAAGTTGATGTTTCTTTCTTATAGTGTGTTTA